TAATCGCTTTTTGTGTAATTCATTATTAGAAGCTATAAGTATTAATATTGAATAATGTCGCTGTTTTTTGCTCATCTGTAAACATTCAAATGCTAAGGATTTCAATAAGTTTGGTGAGACTTTCTTACTGCATTTATCTACACATAAGCAATATCGCTCAAGCTTGGCAACCAAATCGTTTACAGCTATCTGATGATCAGGATTTCGTATAATGTCCTCAGTATCCTCATCACTTGATTCGAACTCCAATTCTTCAAGTTCTGTTTCTTCGCTGTCATATACATTCTCATCTATTTCATTAAAGTCCAAATCAGAAGAAACAAAATCCAAGATATTAAGAGAGTGTTCCAAGTTCTTTTGAAATTCCATTATTGAATCAGAGATGAGAATAATATATATTTTTATTTCTTTTTTCTTGTATACTTACGAATATCTTTGTAATTCTTATCTAATTTTATAGTTGTAACTTCAATGATATAAAGTTTATATAAATTAAATAGGCAAAATAATTATTTTGAAGTCGTATTAAGGTCATCGGCCAATACTTCGAATTAATAATACTTTCTTGGAACTGCGGTACGTCAGATCTATAATAAAAACGATAATTCTTTTCCGTGTAATGGATCTTAACCAGGCTAAATCATATGATTATTTTTCTTACCTAGCAAAGCTCTCATATACCAAAAATCTTTTTATTAGCTCGGCTCACAACTGGTTTGCCAAAATATGTATTTATTTCCTTATACCTACTATATATCATTTGACAAGAATAGGTACAGAAGATTCGCCGGTTCAGGTACTGTCATATTTTCAAAGCATGTTAATCAGTATATTTATTTATTCTATTTATGATCACGCGTTCATGTTTTTTTTTAAAAAGCAGAAAAAGAAAGTTGTCCAACTCAATGGATCCCTTTCAAACTTGAAAGTACATGTCAAAGTTGAAATGAAGAGCATGAACGAAAAACATTACGTTAGAAGTTTTTATCATTTTGGGTTTGAAATCGAAAAGGATAAATACCGGGCATTCTTGTATTATCAAAAGTCTATTGAGATGGAAGGTTTTGATCATGAACTTGGAGTCAGAAATGAAGTGTTTATTTTTTTTCAAAAATCGGATGTCGCTAGTGGAATCAAAGATAAATATAAGACATTCGAGTATTATCAAAAATCAGAGATCAGTTGTGCTGATAGAATATTCAGTTTTGGCGATTGCTATCAAAATAGAACCAGAGTTGAGAAGAATAGATATAAGGCATTCGAGTATTATCAAAAATCTAATGAAAAATGACAATTCCATTCAATCTGTTTCTTTCAAAAATACGACATCTGAAAATATTTGTATAATGTGCCTAGGTACTTTTGTGGGTTCAGATACCATTATTTTGGGTTAAAATATCATCGAATGGCTTCTGTATTATAAACAATTTAGATTTTTACATTATTTATTAAGTATATATTTGAAACTTAAAATAAATTTTAAATATTTTTAAGAAATTGACTGAATTTTCGCAAGACTGATATTTAATTACGTATCATAGTACAGAAACAATTGTTGTACATGTGTCATTAATTAACCCCTGTTATCATTATAATACGTAATAATGTAAGTTCAATAAAATTTGTTAATTTAGAATCAAATTTACAGGTTTTCTTTTGGCGTCACTCAAATAATAAAATAGTTTATTTATTATGACGTATTAAAAAAATTTTTTTTTGATAGATAACATCAGAATTTATTATTTCACAAAAAATTGCTATTACTTTAAAAAGATTGTGATAACAAGCCTCTTTATTAGAAAAAATTTTTTTAATATCTTTGTTCATAATCAAAACAAATATTTAAATATTTTATAAATTATAAAAAATATACAGTATTTATAAAACGGATTTTCAAAAATTTATAAAAATATTTAATAATAGATATTTAAATTATATTATTAATTGTATCTTTGATATATACAATATATTATATTTTTTTTTATATATAAATAAATTTATATCAAATTAAATTTTTCATTTGTTATAACTTGATTTAACAATATTTTAAATTATATAATGTACTGTATATAAAATAATAATAATAATAATAATAAATTTTTTATTGAATAATCATTTTTCTGCTATATAACTTACTTACAGTATCTAAAATAAAAGAAAAATCAGAAAAAATAATTTTATTGTTTGAAGACGTGTTTTTTTTTAAATAATAAAAGTCAAAATAGTTACGGGTAATAAAATTTTTATTTTAAAATTATTTTGATGCATTTTATTAATATTATATTATATTATTAGAAATACAAATACATTTAACTTTTTTATTCCGTGTGTCAAGACCTATTAAAAAAAAACAATCAAATTCAATGTAAACAACTTACAAGTATTTCCAACATTTAAAGATTCCTTAAAATTCTTTATGTAGAGGATTTTCTCATTTTGATAGTTTCATGTTTTTTCTTTCATTTTTTATGTTTATTAGAAATCAAGTGTATTTTGTAAAAAGCGTTCTCAATAATAACCTACAGTATATCAAAATCCTGTCATTTACTGTAACTCATCCAATAATTAAACTTTATAGATTTTTAAAGTATATGATAGTTTATGAATTATAATCATCAAATTTAACAATCCGAAAAACTAATGAATGGATTAAGTGAATTTGTATTTTAATTGGTAGTAAAAAACAAAAAAAAAACAAACTTTTTTCACGAAAGTCTCTAGATTAAGCTTTAATTAACTTTCGTTATCGAATTTGATTAAACGCTTTAGAAAACAAAAATTTATGAATGATGTTTCTATGTCCTTTAAGCGAAAAGATGTAATGACGTGAAAAAATAGGCATCTCTTAAAAAAAGTATATATGATATCTTGATAGTTACGTAATTCTTTAAACTTTCACGAGGAAGTTTTCCTGTTTATTCCTGTTTATTTTGTTGAGCACTTTACCAATTGAATTAATTTGTTTCATAGTACATGCTATGCTTTCGTCACGAATTCAATTAAACTTTCGTAATAATGGTTATGCATCACAAATCTGGTTGGCGAAGTTTCGGTAAAGTTTCAGTGAAGTTTCTTTGTTTCATTATTTCGTTGAAGTCAACAATCACAATTCTGAATTGCGTACATGGGTTGAATTCTTGATATAAAAAAGACCGGAATGAACGAAAGGCGTTTGCTAAGATTTGGAAATCCCTAAATAACTTTCACTGACGCATTTATCCAATAAACTGACCTGGTTTTAATAATATAATGGCGTCAAAAAGTTTTTTTTCTCCTCGCGGAGTCGTTATTCTCTTAATTTCTTTTATGACTTGTATTCAGCCATTATTTTTCTTTAATGCATTTGGAATTCCTTTGAAAGTAAACGATGATAAAATGATCTCAAAGAGACATGACGATAGTAAAAACTCAAGTAAGAATATTCGACGCGTTTTTACGTGTTTCTTCCTACTAACGTGTCTGAACTTTTTAAAGCAAACATAGTCTCCAGCAATTTATGCGATAATAACGTGAAACAGGTATTAGTTTTTCTGACGATATCTATCCTCGTAATTAAAAAAATCTTTGTTTTTTGTGTATAGCATTCTGGCTACATCGAGATTGCCCCAGGCGCCAATATATTCTTTTGGTTTTTCGAATCTCGCAACAATCCCAAGGGATCTCCTTTAACATTGTGGCTAAATGGTGGTCCAGGATGTAGTTCGTTATTTGGGCTATTTGAAGAACTCGGACCTTGCAAATCGAATAATAACGGTTCAGAAATTACAAACAACATTTACAGTTGGAACGAGATTTCTAATATGTTGTTCGTTGATCAGGTGCAGTGATTTTATTTAGCCAAAATAACCATCCTTATTGATATTAAGTTCGTGTCTTCTTCTCCCTGTTTCATAAAGCCGGTCGGTGTAGGGTTGTCGTACGGATCACGTGTTGTGAATTCCACTGAACAAGCCGCTGAAGATTTATACGTGTTTTTGCAAATTTTCTTTGCAAAATTTCCAGAGTACGCAACCTTGGATTTTCACGTCTTTGGAGAATCTTACGGCGGACATTATGGTAATTTGATAATAAACTTTGCTCCCTATGAAAATCGACTAAACATTATTTATAAATGCACAGCACCTGCAATTGCCAAAAAAATCGTCGAGGCCAACGACCTTATTCAAGCTCGAACAAACAAAGAAACCAAGATAAACCTTAAGACAGTTGGATTAGGTGAGTTTGTGCATAAGATTTTCTTCAAAATTAAAACCGATTTTAATCATCTTTTATAAATGATTAGGCAACGGTTGGGTTGATGCTGAGATTCAATTGTAAGTTCACAATTCCTCATGTTGTCTTGTAGTTTTATTTTCGATTTAAATCTTATGCATCATTTATTAAATATAGACAATCCAACGTGTATTTCGCGGAATTCAATTCGTGTAGGTCAAAGGGTTTGAAACGCTTCTGTTGCTTTAACATATAGTTCTCACCTATCTTAATTTTTAGACCATCCGGTATTAGATGTTAAATATATCCAGGAAATGAAGAATATTTCTTTCGAATGCAAAAGCAAGAGTACGTTGACGTTTCTCGTTCTTAAATCTGACGTTCTTTATTTAACTCTGCTTGGTTTTTCTTTCTAGTCGAAAAAAGCAAATCTACAGAGGAATTCAGAAAAGCATCTATAGAATGCGATTCAATACCCCAAGAAATCTTTGACAATCATTCATACGCTAGCGTTTACGATATCCGTGTTTCCAACACTTCTTACTCGTCCATGCCAAGTGCCGACTATGTCAGTTTTTTGAATAAACCAGAAGTATTGAGGTCAATTGGCGCGGAATCTTTTGGCAATAGGACATTTGTTGAATGTTCGGATAAGGTTTTTAATTATTTTAGCGAAACTGGGGATGGGTATGCATCATCATCATCATTATTATTATTATTTAAAATATGATTTGTGCGTTGATTTTTTTTTTTTTTTTGTTCTTTTAGCATTCGTTCGTACAAACCTCACGTTGAATATCTTCTTGAAAAGAATATCCGCGTCATGCTTTATCATGGTGATGCCGACTACATTTGTAATTGGTATGTCCATGCGTTCATTTGTTTAAAGTATTGAAAAGGACGATTTTTTATTAATTTGAATTTCCCTATTATAGGTTTGGGGGACTTGACGTGACCAACCAACTTGTATGGAAAAACCAACGCGAATTCAACGCTGCCCCAATGCAGTATTGGAAAGTCGACGATGTAATTGCCGGTCAGATTCGTAAATTTGGTAACTTATGGTTCGTCAAGGTGTACGAATCTGGTCATGCGGTTCCATTCCATCAAGCGAAGAATTCTTTGGATTTATTGAAGAAATGGTTTAATGATAACTAAAACGAAAATATCCTTTATAAAATATATGCATATGGAAGGTAAAATGGTGGAAGATGATTCTTAAAATCGATAGATTGATATACAATAATTAGAAATATTGCATACAGGAATTAATATGTATGTGTAATATGAATTGAGTATTATATTATTATATAATTTAATTCTAATAAGTATAGATCATTTGAAATAAAACGTGTAAATTTAAAATAAAAATTATTTTCTGTGTACTGTATAATATCTTGGCATAATCGCAATTTTCGCTTTATGAAAGATTGATGCACTTACATATACTGTATGCATATTATGACAACTTAATTAATTGAGGATATGTTATAATCATTTTACAGTACGCATCAAAGTAACGTAAAATGAAAATTATTTGCTTTTTTATATTTTATATAGATAAACGAATTTTTTTTTATATTTACTGTAATTAATATTTAGGCGAATGATCCAAGACATTTCTTATTGCATCAAATTCCGTACGACATTAATTCTACAAAACTTCGGAGAATAGATACAGTATATCATTCTTTCTTACCCTTTTGAAGCTATTTTAAGTTTATTTTTGTGTTTTTTGAAAATTTTTACGACTTTTAATTTTGTCTTGTCTTATGTATTTTAAATCAGATTAAGATCTGTAGATCTTAATGACCGCATCACGTACTGCATTTAACGTAACCTAGTAAATTGAACAATAATCTTGCCGAAACATTAAATTTTTTCCTACTAATTAATGTACAAAAGTAATAAATGATCTTTAATAACCTTGATTTTCTTTGTTTGAGCCATATGTATCATTTAAAAAATCCAAAAAATTTTTTTAATTTCTTTAACAAATTATTTTCATACTATTATTGAAACTAAAACTTAATTCTAAAACACTTACGTATATTAATATTTTTTATTTGCATAATATTGTAGTTTTAGTTTAATAAAATCGTTTATTTATTTTGATATCTATGATATTACTACTTGCAAATATTTTTGGTTTATATTAATTATATTATCTTTTACATTTATTCATATAATTATTTGATAATAATTTTTTTTATAATAATACAAGGTTAAATTCCAAAATCGTAAATAATTTGAAAACCAGTCTATAACTTTATTAAAAATTAAAATCTTTAATAACATTGTATAATCGTGTATCTTATGTTTTTAAAAAAAAATCTTGATTACCAATAAAATTTTATTTGTTTATTTTATTTTAAATATTGTTTTTAAATAAAATAAACGTTAATGGTTTTAATTATATAAATATATTTTAGAATATTTTAAAATTATAATCAAGTTATGATTTATATTATTTTAGTTGATTTGTTTTTAATTATATAATTTTTTTTTTAATATTTCATAAAAAATAAAAAAATTATTTTAAAAATATTAAATTAAAATAAATTTAATAAATTATATACTGTATATATTGTCATATATCGTTTCTACCTCAGGAGAAAGATAAAGACAGAGAACTAATAGCAGGGAGGCACTTTAGATGGACAGGGCCAATGTGGTATGCTAAAGTTCCTAGAGGCGTACAAATTAGTACAGTT